ATTCCGGCAGAGAATGCGACCTGTCAGGTTTCCTCCGCGAGATGCTCTGAACACCTCCCGCTGGTGGTGCCGCATCCGAAGTCCGAAGCCAAGCAAAGAAACATCAAGAAGACCACCGATCGTTACCTTGGCAGCCTTGAAGCCAGAAGAAGCACTAGAACAAGGTCAACAGTCAACGGCTACTACGGATGGCAGAACCAAGTTGTCAATCCTGGGTGGACAACTCCGCAAGCACTTCGGATAGCAGCTGCCAGGACAAGAAGCAGCGACGCTGACAGTGAACATTAGCCTCCTCAGGCAAGCGAGAAATCCAATTTTGACACACCCAAAAACCGAGTCCTTTCCATTGGCCTCGTGGAAGACACAACTTGTTTTGCGGTATCAGTAGTTTCACAGGACAAGCCTATCCTCCAATTTCAGCAAGCATCAGGATTAGGTGTCTCGTCTGCTTACCAACCATGTGTGCGAATTATGTTTCAACGGCACCTGTATATATTTCCATTTGCCGGACGAACAAAATCAGATCACGCCAAAAAGTGATCTCAATGACTTGAATATAAACCATGCAAAAGTCTATTTGAAAGGGCTACGGCACAAAAGGCCAAGCCAGTAGATATGTTTCCCCACACATACTCAGTTTGGTGTGGAAGATCACAAGAAACTTGTGGCTGCTTTGTGTTTGCTTTTGCTTCGCGTTACTCTACCCGGCAGATAGATGGCTCAAAAAGAACGGTCCGTGCCATCTACTTGGCTCGACGAAGGTTTTTACACTTCGCGCGTCGGGGCCAGACAATTGGGGGGTCTAACGGGATGCAAAATAGATGGCACCTTTTTTTAGCCCCCTTATGGCACAATTCAGTGCGTCCACTCACGCTCGCTCGCTCGCTCACTCACTCTCACTCTCACTCTCACTCTCAACTCTCACTCTCACTCACTCACTCACTCTCACTCACTCACTCTCACTCACTCACTTACTCACTCGCTCACTCGCTCACTCGCTCACTCGCTCACTCACTCACTCACTTACTCACTTCCTCCCGCACTCACTTACTCACTTCCTCACTTCCTCACTTACTCACTTACTCACGCACTCACGCACTCATGCACTCGCGCACTCACGTACTCACACACTCACGCAGTCACGCACGCACGCACGCGCTCGCTCGCTCACTCACTCACTCACTCACTCACTCACTCACTCACTCACTCACTCACTCACTCGCTCGCTCACGCACGCACGCACGCACGCACGCACGCACGCACGCACGCGCACACGCCCGCACGCCCGCCCGCCCGCCCTCCCTCCCTCCCTCCCTCACTCACTCACTCACCCACTCACTCACTCACTCACTCACTCACTCACTCACTCACTCACTCACTCACTTCACTCACTCACTTGCCAAAGACTGCCGCTCTCTGCGTGTGTTACGATGTGACTGAAGATTGTCAGTGTCAGTTTCATGCCGAGTCAACGCCAGCTGATGTGACAGATAGGGTGTAGGGCGGGCGGTTAAACAAGAAATGTGCAATCTACTTTCACCTCGGTTGCGCCTCCACAAGGCAGCGCTTCACAAGGCAGCCAGCTGACGCGGGTTCCTTCCATGTGTTTTCAAAGCCTGGGCGTCGTCTGGGAGCGGCGGTGCCTCCACAAGGCCCCCAGGCAGCGGGGAGGTCCAGCCGCACAAGTACCAGCCAGGTAAGCAGAGGGGCTAATTTTGACGGTTTCCTTCCAAGAGCCAGCTGATGCGGGTTCCTTCCATGTCTTTTGAAGCCTGGGCTGCCGCAAGTCCATGCCGGTATTGCGCCATCTACTTTTTCCCCAACAGCTGAAAGCTTTGGGGTTTCAGCCCAGATAGGCTCCGGGGTGGTTCGGGCAGGGTTCCACCACGGTTCCACCATCTGCGAGGCTTCCAGATTAGGTTCTGCAAGGGTTGCGGGGTGGTCCGGGGTGGTTTGAGGTAAGGAGGGCTGCGTGGGCTGGTTTGAGGAAGGTTCCACGAGGGTTCCACGAGGGTTCCAGCAGGGTTCCACCATCTGCGAGGTTTCCACCAGGGCACCAGGTTCTGCAAGGTGCGGGGTGGTCCGGAGTGGTTTGACAAGGGTTCCACCAATTTCTTTGAGGCAAGGTTCCACAAGGGTTTGATCAGGGTTCTGGCAATTTCTTCGCGGGCTGCAAGGTGGTCCGGGCTGGCTTGAGGAAGGTTTCACAAGGGGTTTCACCAGGGCACCAGGGTTGCACCAGGGTTCCACCATCTGCGAGGGCTGGGTCGGGGTTCCACCAGAATTCCACCATGAAGGTTCCAGCTTCTAGCAGGGTTCCACGAGGTTCTGCAAGGGGCTGCGGGGTGGTCCGGGGTGGTTTGAGGTAAGGTTCTATGAGGGTTTCAGGGTTCCACGAGATTCTGCGAGGGCTGTGGGCCCTGAGGTTTCACAAGGCTCCACAAAGGTCTGCAAGGAGGTGGCAAAGTACATTTTGTGGAAAAAGGCAATTGTTTGCTTAAATTTGGTTGGATCATGTAGCTTGACTGCCGAGCTTGAGAGTGCTTCGTGCGCTTCGCACTGAACGTCAGCCACGGGGCACGGCTCGGGAACTGTTTATTTGATATATGCATACACTGGTCCAGCATACATGCATCGATCCATGCATGCACAAGTCTTTGATCGCCAAATTGCCAAGCCAGAAAAGAGCAACAAAGTCCTGTAAAGTCACGTGCCGCGAATTGACACCAAAATGGTGCAAAAACGGGATGTGCAGAAAATGCCCTTTCTACGGGAATAAACGGCCGTTCACGGCAGAAAATGCACTTTCTACGGCAGAGAATGTACTTTCTACGGGTTGTCTACGGTTTGCCTACGGTCCCTTTCGGTCACAAGCAACGAGCAGCGAGCTCAACAAATCTCGGCTTTACGACTCGACCTGATGTGAAAAGTGCATATCCTGATTTTGCAATGTGTTTCCCCTTCTGCGCGTGTGGAATCAAGCGCCCCTGGCTTACACCGTACTTTTCGTAGCGGTTATTTGCTTGCCTATGGTTTTCCCGAATGGTTTGCCTGTGGAATGTCTATGATATGTCTACAGTACGTCTATGGTTTGTCTATCGTCAATTTGCTGTGATCAGAGCACTCGAAGAAATTGAGCCCCAATAGTGGATGCAAAAAATGTCCCTTCTTGAGCAAAAAATGTCCGTTGGTCCCCAGGACATTTATTTAATGGTCGAGGAAGTTCCGGGCAATGTTCCACCAAGGGTTCCAGAAATTTTCTGCAAGGTTCCATGGTTTGCCCTGGAGGGAAGCAGTGCGTCGTGCGCCCGTCGGTTGAAAAGCCATCGGATCAAGATCGCTTTGCTCCTGGGCGGAACACTAAGCAAAACCGAAATCAATGGTTTTTAGCACACTTTCACTGTTTTGTGACTTGCTCACTCGCTCAGGCAAATGTTGGCTTTGTGGCAAATCAGATCACGTCGCTGCGGGACTCACGGTGCAGCAGAGTAAATGCTTGGCATTGCTGCTTGGTGGGCTTTGGGGGTTCCAAGAATTCCACAAGGCTGCGAGGGCTATGAGGTAAGGTTCCAGAAACGTTCCACGAGGTTTCCACCAGGTTCTGCAAAAGCTATGGGGCAGCCCTGAAGAAAGGTTGCAACAAAGTTTCACGCTGAGCTCCACGAAAGCTGCATGAGAACGGTTTGCGAGGTTCACCGGGCCTAGGGATTGCACTGTCGGGGCCCGATTGCGCCGTTTGGGCCCGATCGGCCGATTGCGCCATCGCGCCCCGATCTGGGCCCGACTCAGTCGGGCCCCATCAACTGTACCAAGCTGGCATCGCCTAGTTTTGCTATAGATACAGTTGCAATCCGCATGCTAAGGGAAACCGGCACTGAGCTATAATATGGGTGGCTATGGTTGCACCACGGGACGACCGGCCCGATTGCACCGTCGGGCCCGATCGGGCCCCGATTGCGCCGTCGGGCCCCGATCGGCGATAGCGCCGTCGGGCCCCGATCAGGGCGAGATTGCGCTGTCACTCGTAGCTTTGCTTTGGAAAGTTTCAAGGCGGCATCCTCAGCAACGCCGGCGGTAAGGATGGTCCTGGGGCGTTCCGCAAGGATTCTGGGAGGGTGTGGTGCTGTTGGGGATATCGCCCGAGCTTATTTTTCGTTTGTGGGAGGGGCAGTGCCTCCACAAGGCAGCCCCCAGCAGCTCGGAAGTCCTGCCACACAAGTACCAGCCGGTAAGTAAAAGGGCCAAAATTTAAGGAAGTGCAGCGAAGTCCAAGCCAAGATCGACGCCGCTTCGCAGTTTGTGGGAGGGGCAGTGCCTACACAAGGGCGGGCAGGTCCAGCCACAAGTTCCAGCCACAGGCAGCCTTACAGGGAGAAAAGGAAGTACCACAAGGCCGCCCCCGCGCAGCGGGAGGTCCAGCCACACAAGTTCCAGCCAGGCAAGTACGAGATTTTTCCAGGCGCAGGGAAGTCCACCAACCAGGCAAGCAGGCCTTGAAGTTCGGAAGCGCAACCTGCAGGCTGATTTGGCAAGGCAGCAGCCTTTTGAAGATGTCCGAGCCGAGATCGACGCGGCTGCTTCGCAAGCCCATGCGTGGAATTCTCCGATCCTAATTTGCTTCGTTTGTGGGAGGGGCAGTGCCTCCACAAGCTTTCTAGCCATTTGCGACATTCACAGTATTCCTGCAACAACTCACCTTGCGGGCGGCACGCTATTGCAGGATTCCTACAACAACCGCACCAGGGACATCCAATAGTCTCTACATGCATTCTTGGGACATCATTGGATCCTCAAGAAATAGATCCAGAGACCATTACGAGACCGTACACAATTGGCGCACTCACCCCCCCCCCCCCCAAGTTACAATTGTTACTCTCCGTCTATCTGCCCATCCGACATCCGCCCATCTCTCGATCGACCTCCTCCCTGCCACTATCCCCCGCTTCCTGGAAGTTATGGGGGCTCTTTCACTGACCGGCGTGCAACATTCCGCCCCAGGCCTTCCCAGCTGGTGTTGGACGTAGACTCCGCGCAGACACCTTGCAATAGAGTTATACGTGCCAAACAGGCGAGTGTACCATTGCCATCTATGTGTGAGTGTGAAAACATGCAGCCGCGCGTCCGCTGCTGGTGTCAGACTCGTAGGCTTCGCCTTGGCAGATTGGCGCCTTTGCTCATCTTTGCTGCTGTCCATTTCTACATTGACATGTGGTGGGCAACTGCATGAGCGATTTATGTCATCCCAACTTTCGAAGCGGTTGGACGCCAGCGTCACTATGCCTGAAGCAAACATGAACTGCCTGGCCTCCTCTATCCTGGCGCTTCTCCCGTGAAAAGGCAGAGAACAGCCAGGCCATGACCTGCGCAGCACGAATCACTTGACACAAAGAACCTCGCAACTATCAAGGTTGATTTCCAGGGGATGCATCGAGGAGTATCTCAGTATCTCTCCAAGATCAGCAAGGACAGCCCCAGGGTAAATCCAAATCCGCCACCGCATCCTGCTCGGCCGCGGGTCGCAGCGCCTTGGAGAGAAACAATGCTGCAAGCTGCGAGCCGAAACGCCGGCGGGACATTGAACTGAGCCAGTAAAATATCATACTTGAAAGAAGGTCGCGCTGCAGTGTGTCCTTGTGGCTCGCGCGAGGTGGCCCAGGAGTTCATCTGGACGCCAAGGTGGGTCATAGAGCACTGTTGCACCGCTTCGCAGCGGTGCGAAAGAACTGCTGCTTGCTGGTCGCACGCGCGGCAGGTGGGAGCCGTGATGTCGGCGCTCAAAGCCCGTGACGACAGGCCCGCGCTGGCCCAGCCCTTTCCCAAACCCCCCTCTTCGCCATTTCTTTGAGGCTCTTCGCATCCATGACCAAAGTTCCTTCCACTGCCTGCAAAGGTTCTGTTACGTCCGCAGGCGGGATACCTGGTGAACATCAGCTCCTCCTTGCATTCGCTCATCCTCGTAGCTCAGTTCCCAGCAATGACCTTGCCACTCTGGGAAGCCTGGCCCACAACTGTGGTGTGTGCGATCCGCAGTACACATCCGCAAAGAAGCGCAAAGACGCAGACTAAGGCCAACAAATATAGTGTTCCGTGGCTTGCTTTCATGGCAACTGGCCACCGTTCCGAAGCCCCTTGCCTCAAACTAGGGTACCCTTTGGCCAAATGGTCTTGACGTTGAAATCGATTGCGGACGCCCTGACGAAGCAATTGAATCACACAGGAAGTTTGTCCAAGGTGCTTCAGCAAACTTGCTTACACAATTCAGATCACATCAAATGACATGCATCAACAATTTGGCAACAACATGCAACATATTGAATGGTTTGAAGACCTTTGAATATCCACACAGCAAGCACACAGCATCATAAATATTACCCGAAGCCAATTGCCAATGGTATCAGATATCTGGTTTCATCTTAACTTTGTGTGTATGTATGTATGTGGGCGTATGTGTGTATGTGAGTCTCTGTATCTGTGTGTATGTGTGTGTATGTGTGTGTATGTGTGTCTATGTGTGTGTATGTGTGTATGTGCGTGTATGTATGTGTATGTCTGTAAATATATATATATATAGTGTCCTGACACTCACAATTCTGAGCTCAGTGCTTGACATTTTGAAATATATGATGCATGATATAACAAGTAATTTGCAGGGCATATCATACATTGAATGTCTCATCTGGGAGTCATGTGGCATACCAGCAGTGTTTTTTGTTTCCCAAACCTCATGTGTGCATCTCAATGTACTTGTGCATGGTATATATATATATATGTGATTATGGTTTAACTTATTTAGATATCATGTTATATACCTGGCCTAAGTATGCAAATTACCTAAATTTAGGTGTCGCAAAATGTACGCAAATTTGCGATTTTAAGTGGTTTTGTGCGTAAACAAATTCACCTAAACATTTACGTATTTAATGGTTGCTTTTTGCGTTGCGCATTATAAAAGTTGATGTTCCCTACCTTCATGGAACATGCTTGAAGCACCGTGTTTGTACATTGGCGGTAGAAGGTTTAGTTCCAGTGGTAGAACATGCTGTGCACGCCCCAAAGGGCTCGGGCTGCAGGTTTAAGGTTAGCAGGTAAAATATGCATTATTTGGGCGAAACCTTGCCTAGAGATTTCCAGTTGCTGTCCAAAAATTTTGTTTGCATTGCATGCATGTTCTCATGAGTACATTTGAGTAATCGGACACCCCCGCTCAACAATGGATCCACCTAAAACAATAGAGGGATTTGAATTTCCATTTGACTTCGTGTTGCCGGTCCCAAGTTGTTTGGTTTAGTATTGCTGGGTTGCGACTTTCCTTTTGACTTAGTATTGCTGGATTGAGGCTTCCATTTGATTTACTATTGCTGGATTTGCCTTTCCATTTGATTTAGTCTTGCTGGAGTTGAATTTCCATTTGGTTTACCATTGCTGGGTTTGGCTCGCCATTTGATTTAATCTTGCAGCATTTGAGTTTCCATTTGATTTAGTATTGCTAGATCTGAGTTTTCGATTGAGTTAGTCTTGCTGGATTTGAGATTCCATTTGATTTAGCATTGCTTGATTGGAATGTCCATTTGATTATTGTTGCCGGATTTGAGTTTTCCTTCGATTTAGTATTGCTGGATTTGAGTTTCCATTGGGTTTAGTATTGCTGGATTTGATGTTCCATGTGAGGTATTGCTTGATTGTTTTTCTATTTGATTGAGTATTGCTGGGTTTGAGTTTTCATTTGATCTAGTATTGCTTGATTGGATTTTGCTTTTGTTTGGGGAGGCTGGAACAAATCATTACTGCGGGGGACCCCTCAAATAAGGTTTGTTTTCTCCTCAAGTACTCCCTCCCCATTTGCGGGTGTGATTCGGGCAAGGCTTTTAAATGAAACTATGTAAGGAATTTGAGTTTGGAGATTGCTTAATTGTCCGACAATTGTAGTGTTGGGTAGTTGGGCAAGGGCCTACAAAGAGTTGGATTCAACCAGCTGTGTCTCAGTCTTTGAGGTGGATTGTTTTTGTTTTGTTTTTTTTTGGGGGGGGGGCGCTGCACACCAGGATTTGTGAGTGTCAGGACACTATATATAACCATAGATTAACAAGTTGAGATGCACAAGATATCTGATACCATTGGCAATTTGTTTCCAGTAATATGTATGATGCTGTATGCATGTTGTGTGAATAGTCAAAGGCCTTCAAACCATTCAATATGTTGCATGATGTTGTCAAATGTTGATGAATTTCATGTGATGTGATATGAATTTTGTATGACTTGTGTATGCGTGTCTATATGCATGTTGTATGCATTTTATATGCACTTGTTATGCACTTTTTAACTGAAATGCACTTTGTATGCACTTTGAATGCACGTTTGATGGACTTCATATGCACTTTGTATTCACTTTTAACAAGTGCATAACAAGTGCACATAAAATGCACATAACATGCATACACAATGCATATGAACGTCATACAACATTCATATACAACATTCATACAACATTCATACAACACATCACATTCGAATTTCATCAACAACTTGGTAATATACTCACACAGTGTTGTAAAACATATCAATAAATCAACACCAAACCCATACTATGCATATTAAACACTGATTCTGTGATGAAAGGTATCCTCTCAAACAGTTCAATCATGTGCAGGTCAGCTAAGTATCTTTCATGGTTCTTAGATCGACTAATTCACTTGCTTGATTTGATTTGCCTTATCAATTCAATTTGTTGAATGCCTTACCACAAGGGCCAACTGTACCCAAAAAAAAGGCAGCATTTTTGAAAAAAAGGCAGCAATGCCGAGTGCCAAAACGTAGATTTACTGTACATTTACAGGGTTTGGGCCGGAAAAAAAAGGCAGCAATTTTTGGAAAAAAGGCAGCAACTTCTTCGGGTACGTCCGTACCGTACCCGGTGTACCCCCCCGACCGTACCCAAAAAAAAGGCAGCAATTTTTGAGAAAAAGGCAGCAATGCCGAGTGCCAAAACGTAGATTTACTGTAAATTTACAGGGTTTGGGCCGAAAAAAAAGGCAGCAATTTTTGGAAAAAAGGCAGCAACTTCTTCGGGTACGTCCGTACCGTACCCGGTGTACCCCCCCGACCGTACCCAAAAAAAGGCAGATTTTTGAGAAAAAGGCAGCAATGCCGAGTGCCAAAACGTAGATTTACTGTAAATTTACAGGGTTTGGGCCGAAAAAAAAGGCAGCAACTTGTGGAAAAAAGGCAGCAACTTTTGCGGGTACGTCCTACTGCCGCGCCCGCACACGATGCACCGCCTGTTGCATCAGCGTACCGTGCCTGTTGTACCAGCGTACCGTACCTGTTGTACCACCGTACCGTACCTGTTGTACCAGCGTACCGTGCCTGTTGTACCACCGTACCGTACCCGGTGTACCCCCCGACCAAACCCAAAAAAAAAGCATCAAATGCCGAGTGCCAAAAACGCAGATTTACTGTAAATGTAAAAAAAACAAAGGCAGCAACTTTTGGAAAAAAGGCAACATTTTTTTCGGGTACGGTCGGCTGGTACGACTGGTACGGTCAGCTGGTACGACTGGTACGTTCGGCTACGCTTACGCTGGTACGTACGACTGGTACGATCAACGGGTACGACTGGTAGTACACTCAACTGGTACGACTGGTACGATTGGTACACAGTTAGTTTACCTGGTACATCGGTGAGGCGCAATTGGTATGGCCCGCCGGTGCGACTTGGCTCAGTTGGTACTAGTTCCCGGTCGCTCAAATGATTGTTTCTGGTGTCTGATGCTCCTCAATGGTGACTCCAGATGCGCCTGGGTAGTCTCGGTCTGCGCCGATTTGTCCTGAAATCTTTGGTTTCTTTCATTATAGCACACAAGGGAATCACTTGTTCCAAGTGCATTTGCTGCTTTGTTTTTGATAGAAGCTGCGTCCTGTGTTGAAAAATAATGCCCACACAGTTGTCCAAAGAATATGTATCAGACACATCCTCACTGGGATTAACTTGTGTCTTGATTCTTCTCATGTAAGTGAGGATTGATGTAAACAACATTGGTAACATCAACACGCCGGTCAGACAACCTTATCTCAACTCATAGCATCCCTAGTTGAGATATAAAGATAGTCATGTTTTATCAAGTCATATGATGCAGCACCCTAAGTCTGTAAATTGCCTAAATTTTGGTTCGGGCCATTTTTACGTAAATCGAACAAAGTAGGTGAAGTTGCACTTAACTGCTCAATTTGCATAAATTTATGGGGCCCAGGTGCTTTTCTAAAAAAAATGATGCCTGTTGACACGAATGTAGCCAGCGTGCTTGGCAAACAGTTCTGCATTTTTATTTTCATTTTGCGGGGGGGGGGCCGCTGCACATCATTCTTTCGGGAGCCCCTAAATCAAGCTTCTTGACTCCTCGAGTACTCCCCCTTTGTGGCATTGATCAGGGCAAGGTGTTGAATGAAACTATGCAAATCAATTAGAGGTTGGGTGTAATTGTCGTTGTTTTGTCTCGCAAATGTGGCCTTGACTCTCCCTTTGCTTAAGCTCAATTCGTTTTTGGGTTTCTTTGGCGTTGGAATTGTTTGGAGTTTGCTTGGGTTGTTGATACTAGGCGCCCATTATGCATTGCGTACGCATTTGTATGTCTGATGTATGCTTTTCATATGCATGGTGTACGCATGATGTATGCATGCTGTATGCATGTTGTATGCATTGTGTATGCATGTTGTGTCAAACGCCATGCATCTTGCATGCGTCGTGTATGCTTGTTGTATGCATGTTGTATGCATTGTGTGTGTGCGTGCTGTATGCATGTTGTATGCATGGTGTGTGCGCGTTGTATGCATTGTGCATGCGTGATGTATGCGTGTTGCACGTATCTTTCATGCCCTTTGTGTGCATGTTTCCTGCATGTTGTATGTATGCATGTTGTATGCATAGTGTATGGATGATGCGTGTATGTTGTTTGCATGGTGTATGCATTGTTTTTGCGTGTGTATACATGTGGTATGCATTTTGTATGAATTCTATACGCGTGGTGCATGCCTTTTGTCTGCGCAATGCGCAATTTCTGTTTGCATGTCGGTCGGAAGGTGTATGCATGACGCATGCATTTTGTATGCATGATGTATGCATTTTGTATGCATTGTGTATACCTTGTGCGTGCATGTTGTTTGCATGTTGCATGCATGGTGCATGCATATTGCATGCATGTTGTATGCGTTTGCATGCATTTTGTATGATGTTGTAGGCATGCTGTATGCATGTTGTACGCATATTGTATGCATGTTGTATGCATGTTGTATGCATGTTGTATGCATGTTGTATGCATGTTGTGATGCACGTATCTTGCATGCATATTGTATGCATGTTGTATACTTTGTTGGGTGCGTTGTGTATGCATGTTGTATGCAGTTTGTATGCATGCTGTAGGCGTGCTGTATGCGTTGAATAAGTTTTTGGTATGAATTGCGTACGCATGCTGTATGCGTGTTGCGTGCCTGATGTATGCATTTTGTGTGCACCCTTGTGTGCATGTTGTATGTGTATTGTACGCGCAATGTATGATTTATGCATGGATGTCGTACGCCTTGTGTGTGACTGATGTATGCATGTTCTACTCATTTTGCATGCATGTTGTATGCGTTTGGTAGGCATGTTGTATGCATGATGTATGCATTGTGTTTGCATTTGTTTTATGCATGTTTTATGCGTTTTGTATGCACGCCATATGCATTTAGTGTGCATTTTGCATGCATGTTGTATTGTGGTTGTTGCATTTTGTGTGCATGTCGTATGCATCGTGTCTGCATTATGTATCAAATGTCATGCATGTTGCATGCCTTGTGTATGCTTGCTGTATGCATACTGTATGCATGTTGTATGCATGTTGTATGCATTGTGTGTGTGTGCGTGCTGTATGCGTGTTCTATGCATGGTGTGTGCGTGTTGTATGCATTGCGCATGCATGTTGTCCGCGCGTTGCACATATCTTTCATGCACTTTGTGCAGGTTTCATGCGTGTTGTATGTATGCATGTTGTATGCATATTGTATGGATGACGAGTGCATGTTGTTTGCATGGTGTATGCATTGTGTTTGCGTGTGTATGCATTTGGTATGCATTTTGTATGAATGCTGTACTCATGGTGCATGCCTTTTGTATGCGCAATGCAGAATTTCTGTTTGCATGTCGGTCTCATTTTGTATGCATGATGTATGCAGTTCGTATGCATTGTGTATAAACGTTGCGTGCATGTTGTTTGCATGTTGCATGCATGTTGTGTGCATATTGTATGCGTGTTGTATGCTTTGGCATGCATTTTGTATGATGTTGTGGGCATGATGTATGCATGTAGTGTGCATTGTGTAAGTGTAATGCACGTATCTTGCATGCATATTGTATGCATTGTGTATACTTTATTGGGCGCGCTGTCTGTGCATGTTGTATGAAGTTTGTGTGCATGCTGTAGGCGTGCTGTATGCATTGTGTAGGTGTGTTGTATGAATTGTGTATGCACGCTGTATGCGTGTTGCGTGCATGATGTATGCATTTTGTGGTAAGGCATGCAACAAATTGAATTGAGAAGGGAATTAAAATCAAGCAAGTGAATTAGTCGATCTAAGAACCATGAAAGATACTTATCTGACATGCACATGATTGACATGTTTGAGAGGATACCTTTCATCACAGAATCAGTCTTGAACATGCATAGTATGGGTTTGGTTTTGATTTATTGATATTTGTACCACATTGTGTGCAGTATATTACCAAATTGTTGATGAATTTCATGTGATGTGATATGAATGTTGTATGAATGTTATGAATTTTGTACGAATTTCATATGCATTTTGTATGTGTTTTGTATAAATTAGTTGCACTTTTTAAGCACTTTTTTAAAAGTGCATACAAAGTGCACATGGTGTCCTTTAAAAACGCATACAAAGTGCATATCACTTAATCATTGCATAACAAGTGCATTTAAAATGCATACACAATGCATATGATACGCATACACAAGTCATGTAAAATTCAGATCACCTCACATGAAATTCATCAACAGTTTGACAACATCACGCAACATATTGAATGGTTTGAAGGCCTTTGAGTATCCATGCATACAGCATCATCAATATTACTGGAAACAAATTGCCAATGGTATCATATGTCTTTGGTTATTATATATAGTTTCCTGACACTCACAATTCTTAGCTCTGTGCTTGACATTTTGAAATATATCATGCATGATATAACAAGTATTTTGCTGGGGCACATCATACCGTGAATGTCTCATTTGGGAGTCATGTGGCATACCAGCAGTGCTTTTTGTTTCCCAAACCTCATTTGTGCATCTCAATGTACTTGTACATGATATTTATATATGTGATTTCGGTTTGAACTATTTAGATATCATGTTATATACCTGGCCTAAATCTGCAAATTACCTAAATTTAGGTGTCGCGAAATTTACACAAATTTTTGTTTTTTGTTTTTTGTTTTTTGCGTATACAAATCCACCTAAGCATTTACGATTTAATGTTTTTGTTGGCGTTGCGCATTATAAAGTTGATGTTCCATACCTTCATGGAACATGCCTGAAGCACCGTGTTTGTACTTTGGTGGTAGAAAGTTTTTTCCAGTGGTAGAACATGCTGCGCACGCTGCATGCATGTCCTCATGATTACATTTGAGTAATCGGACATCCCCGCTCAACAATGGATCCACCTAAAACAATAGAGAGTTTTGAATTTCCATTTGACTTCGGTGATTGACCTGATTTTCCGGCGCCCAAAATTTACGTAAATTTGAAACTTAGGTGGATTTGTTTGATTTGCGTAAAACAAGCCTGAAACCTAAATTTAGGTAATCCGCAGACATAGGGCACCAGTCGTACCCTTGCACCGTACCAGTACCCTTGTACCGTACCAGCCGTACCCTTGCGCCGTACCAGTCGTACCCTTGCACCGTACCAGTCGTATCCTTGCACCGTACCAGTCGTACCCTCGCACTGTACCAGTCGTACCCTTGTACCGTACCAGTCGTACCCTTGTACCGTACCAGTCGTACCCTTGCACCGTGCCAGTCGTACCCTTGTACCGTACCAGTCGCACCCTTGTACCGTACCAGTCGTACCCTTGTACCGTACCACCAAAACGTTTCATCGTCCCAGTGTTTGCACAGGCCTCCAGAGCATGACGCTTAAATTTAGCTAAATGTAGAGCTTGGGTCCACCACCTGTCAACTCCTGGAGTGCTTCGAGAGACCCAACAGTTTCCGTCGCTGCCGAGTGTAGAACGGCATGTTCAGCAATTGCTGTTTGCATCGCGTAGGCTCCATTGACCAGCCCTGGTAACCCTGTTCTTCTAGCCCATCCTGCCCCGCATCGCGCGCTCGATGTCTGTTAAACTCAGAATTTTGGGCGTTGTACGGCATTAGCCTGCTGTCCAAAAAAGGGTGGACAGTTTTTTGTGCGGAGCAGATGAACGGAACAAAAATGGCCAATGTACGAAAAGTCTATCGCGAATGTACAAAAGACGAAAACATTTTGCCTTGGTGCGCAGCGTGCGTCTTTTGTCAGCGTCGAGCCAAAGGCATGTTGGAAGGTCAAAGTTGCGAGCCGCGCGCGAAGCCCAATCGTGCGAGTGAGGCGCTGATCAACGAAAAGCATGGGTGCTGAACAGCAAAAATCAACAAAAGCAAAAGAAAACCATTTTTCAAACCGTTTGAGGCCCGGGCGCAGGCAGCGCCAGCCCTCGCGCAAAGCCAGCGCGACAACAAAACTGGACGTCGACTAAAAATAGCGGAGCAGGAAGAAGTATGGAAAACGCGTCGAAATGCATCGACAAGCGTCGGACTACATGACTTTGGTACGGACCACATGGCTGTTTGTACGGAGGGCGGAACCGCACGCGTCCGAAGCGCCCAAATAGCCATAAGCTGCCGCGCCTTTGGCTTTGCATGACGTTTGCCCGCGTCTGGCTGGCGCAAGCTGTCCAGCGTTGCTCTAATTTTCCAGCGGCGCGCGCAGCGTCGCAGCGTAAACAGCGCGGTCACGGAACGCTGCTGGCCCTGGTGTTGCCAATCGCGTTGCCTGACGGATCGGGCCGCAACAAGGCTACAACATGAGAGCTTGTGGCTTACTCGCCAACCGTCTGTCCAAAAAAGTGGTCTGTCCAAAAAGGAGGGCAGGTTACCCCTGGCTGGACAAAACCTGGGCGTTGTGCGAAACAAACTTGTATGCTGCACGTTTTATTGGGATGGACAACTCTCCAGGAAACAAAGTGAGTTCTGAGTGGCCGACCGCGCACTCAGCCTGGCGACGCGGGTAGTCCAGCTTGTGTGAGGACGGTGGGCCTCGCAGAGAAGGGTGCCCTTGTGACTGATCGCGCGGGCGGAAGCGAGGGCGCACCTTGGTGGGCGGCGGCCCAGATGGTCGGAAGGTTGGAACTGAACTCCGTCATGGCCTGCAGGAACTTGTCTTCGCGCGAAATACAGGTCGGGGCCCAGGGTCGGTCAAAGCAAGTTTGATTCCTTTTCGCCAAAACCGCCATCGACGTCACATGTTTGTTCGAGGCACACGACGGCTGCACCCCTCAATGTTGTTTGGTTTGTTTTCCAAACAACCAAACTTCAAGGCAAAGGTCAACGCTCCACAATGTTATTCGCAACAAACCTGTTAACCGCTGCAAAAGATTGAGTGAGGGTAAGTTGCCTTGCGAGGATATCGGATGGCTCGGAAACTACCACGCACCAGGCTGAATCGTTGAGTATTGTCTCTTCTCTCAGCCACACGTCGCATATCACCACCGAGCACCAAAACGGTCCATTCTTCTACCCGCCGCTCTGGTTGGGCGCGCGCCCCTGGTTTTTCAAAGCCAATGCTTGTCTCATCAGTTCTGTCTCTGTACCAATTCTGGTTATCATTGAATTTCAAACTTTCTTTTTGTGTCTCTCCTGTTTGATGTGTAAGTTTCATTTTTGTTTCAGCTCTTTCAGTCTCCATTTGTATTCATTTTCATCATTGAGATTCAGTGTTTCATCCACATGTTTAACCACCTTGTATTTGATGGTTGTGACTGCTACTCATGTATTACTTACTATGTGCTTTGAACTTTTGGATGTCTTTTGAATTGGGGTTTGCTTTAAGACTTTTCAGGTTGGTGTTCAATGTGTATACAAAGATGGCTCTACAAATTTGAAGACCCTTCCAGAAGGTTCTGGGCAAACACATGAGCGGGAGAAATGCTTTGCTGGCCTAGCCAGACAGGAAATCTGCAGGGACTGTGGAACCGAAATGGGAATGACAGAATATTGGTAGTCAGGTACATCAGAAAGCGTTGGAGCGGCAAGGGCGAAAGGCTGGCAAATATGTTCTGAAACGAGCACTGCTCTTCAGGGCGGCCGCCACACTCATCCAAGGGGCCTTCTCGACGTCTTTACATTTGTTGGGTGAAAGGGAAATGTGCAAAACAGCGTTCTAACCGATGATGTTGAAGGTAATTTGGTCTCTGTAGCTCCCTGCAAACGCTTTAACACCAGCAGCCGGCCAGGGCGGGGCCGGCCATGTTCTGTTGCTCTTTGCCCGGGGGCTGGGCGTGCTCAATCAGCCCCAGGGCCTGCCGCAAGCGCAGCTCCTGGCTGAAATCTCCCCAACGAAGCACACCCTAAAAACCCTACCTGCTAAAGGAGCACAAAACTGCTCAAGTGTTTTTCAACCTGTGCGCGCGCTGGCTGTTTGAATCGAGAAGATGCCCGTCGCGCAAAACCAAGACTACTAAGGTACCATCGCGGACTGATGGCGAGATCTGGGGCCACGCGCTAGGCAAGCCGTTCTGGTCACAAAGCTTCGTGATTCGGATTTTCCTCTCCCACTCTCTATGCCTTGACTGAGGAAACATCCGGGCATCTCCGCTTTCCAAGCGATGCCGTGCAAAAACAAGTTCTGTACTTGGTCGGGGGCTTCAATCCCGGCGCTCGCCGGGCGCTCGCGGCTGCAGACCTGGGCCAGCACACCCGACATCGTGCAAATTTAATTGATGGCGCGAGCAGCGCTTTCTGAAAGTGACACCAAGTAGCCAAAGCAGACAGACACCCAAAGCTAGGTCTTGTAATGCTCGTAGTCCCTGAAGCGGAACTCCTTGCTCGCAAGGTTTCAGGCCGCGCAAGGCCTCAAAGCTGATATCATATCCAACAAAGCCTCTGCAACTGGCAGCTTTGTTCTCAAGCTGCTGCAAAAAAATGTTAGACACATTCTCTGACTTGTTGGGCCTTCCCTCCTGGGTCAACCTGAACGGAGACTCCCCCAGCAAGCACGTTAGCTCATCGTCTTGCCGTCATACGAAGCGGCAAGCTGCGCCTGCCGCACGCGTTGGCCTCAAGGGAGTCTTGCCTCGCGCTTAGTGTGCCGGCCAGCGATACGCAAGTGCGGCGCTCAAGGCAAATCGCCCGGTTACCCTGGCCCCACACTCGGCCAGCAGTGTGCAACACCTTGGGCTCGTACTCGATCCCAGGTGTTGCGGGTAGGGCTGATGTTAAGCCTTACTTTCAGCTCCTTCAGGAATGACAAGCCAATGAAGACGCCAGCTCCAAGACATTTACAGCGCTGGTCATTTCAAGCATGGCAAAGCACAAACATTGCGCTGCTTGCATTACATTCATCAAACGCTGGGCCCAGGGCCTAGTGGGAACCCGTTCCAGATGAAGCAGCGCGCAACAAAATTAAGAAAAGCAAGAGATCGGCTATGCAGAAAGGCAAGTGTCAAACATCGCTACAGGCATATGCAAACTCCTCAAACCCATTCTTTCTAGTCATGGCCCGTCAAGGCCTGGAAAAAAGAAATGGGCAAGAGACCCCGCCAGAAAGACTACTTGAATAAGTCACAAAAATGAGAAACATGTCTGCTTAAGCCTGGCCCCAAATGCAGGCGACGCAATGGGTGCAGGAGACGCACAACACACAGGGGCTTCCGAAAGCGCCGGCGATGCTAGCAATGCAGCCGGGTTGCTACATGCTTGCAGTGTTTTGAGCCTTCCCCCTAACTCGAGCTCACGCGTGCGGCGATGATGCGGACATGCAGACGATGCGAGGGCTCCGCAGCAGCGACCCGTCAGTCGAAAGGCAAAGCCTACATCCGCCCCTTTGGGCGACATAGCACGGCGCTGCCGGATTTAAACGCTACGCGAAACAGCCGGCCGCCGGATGGGTTATAGACTTGTCTTCCCCGGCCTCAGCTGTGCAGAGTTCTTCGGCCACCTTCCTTTTTTGCTGGACTGTCGTCAGTTGAAACTGCAGAGACCTGACTTTCCATCTGTTGAAAACGCAAAGAATTTTTTGGTCATTTCACGACTCACTCGCTCGGGAACTGTCGCGTCCAAGCGGCGCAACTCGGGAGGGAAACGTTGGAGGGATCTCCGCCAGCCCCGGCACAGACAAGTAAATGTGCACACTCGCGAGCATGCCCCAGCTCTGCAGGACGGGGAGACAAATGAAGGCACACTCTGGGAGACAAGTAAATGCGTACACTGGCGAGCGTGCGTCCCGGCACTCTGGCAGCACCCGGCCCGTTCCTTTTTAGAAGGGTAAGAACGCTAACAATAAACTGCTTGGGGAAATAGACAACTCATGTAGTTTAGATACATTGCGGGCAGCTGTAGGAAAACTTTGCTTGAAGCTTTGTTCTTGCATGGTTTCAAAAGTAACCGGGAGAGAACTCAGTTTCTAAAATTTTCGCACACTCAGCATATAAACTATCATCGAGAGTATAGACAGTACCCTTACATAAGTTAACAGCACACGGCGGGTTGGACATAAGAAGCGCCCCTCACCTCTTTGCCTGGCACCCCTCCCCTTACCCCTTTTTTCAGGGGCATAGCTTCGGACTGGGGGAGGGGGGGTGGCCACGCGCCACACGTCCCTTAGGATACAATGGCACAAAAACATTGGGGGGTTCGACTCCCCCGGATCCGCTTTTGCCAGCGCCACCTGAATCATCCGCATTCTTGGCAAACGTAGATGCAGATGACGCAGGTGATGCTGGGGATGTTGCCCGGGGCCTGAAGAAAATAGAAGGACATAATTGAAGGGACATACAAGGAAATAAGGGACAGGAAGGGAAGCGAACGAAAGTGAGGGGACATCAAGGGAACTGAGCGGAACTGAATGGAAATGAGCGAAGGGACGTGCAGGGAAATGAGAGCTTAAAAATCAGAAAGATCTGAGATGCTTAACGTGTTAAAATCCTAATAGCTTAAAGTCTGAACATCTTATAACGTTCCTGGAGAAGATAGAAAAGTCGCGCGCTCCCAAAGATGTATTTGGGAGGGCTGTGCCGCGCAAAGATAGAAACTTTCGCGCGCGCTCCCAAAAATCAACGCTCGAAGAAGGAGAGTAGTAGTCGAGGCGCCGCTTTTTGGGAGCGCGCAGGTCCGAGAGCTTCTATCTTGCTGAAACCCTGCGAAGGGTTCATTTTGCCTTCGCAATTAACATCCGGAAATGATAGAAACGTGTATCCAGGAAAGAATCAAAGTTTCTATCTTGCTGCGCACCCTGTATTTTTACAGGGTCTGCAGCAAGATAAAAACTCTTGCACCTCCTGGCCCAATGGATCGTAATATGCACGGAAGAGAAAACCTAGTAGTGACAACACTACATTGTGCATTTGCAATACAAAATGAAATACTGGCAATGCAAATTTATGGCAATGCTACATTTACTACTCAATACTAAATGAAGTAGCGGCAATACTAGATTTAGCACTGGCAATTCTAAGTGTAATCTAAGGAGACACACAATTAAGTACTGGCAATATGAAACTTAGTATTGGCAATACTAAATTGAGTACTGGCAATCCTCATTTAGTACTTGCAAGCAATTAGTTTGATTATCCGGGCCATGAGCTGTAGCAAAAGTTTCTATCTTTCCGCAAGGCCTGAAAAGCACAGGGCTTGCACAAAGATAGGAACTTTTGACCGGAGAGCTATCTTTCCTCGGGGCCGCCAAATCCTGCAGATGGTTGATTCCGCTTTCGCACGAATACTGCATTCAGTAGCGGCAATACTAAATTTAGTACTGGTAAAGCGAAATTTAATACTTTCAACACTAAGGAGACACACAATTAAGTACTGGCAGTACTAAAATTTAGTAGTCCGTACCCCCTAGTAATGAATGACCACAATTAATATGAAACAAAAATTGAAATCCGGGGCCCGGAGCCAGATTTCCACTCCGCACAATTGATTTTTAATTGAGCCAATACTAAACCCTTACTAAAGTCTTGGAATCCTTATTAGGGGGCACTTTTAACAAGCTTCCAGCCCTACTTTTAAAAAGGTGGCTTCCCCAACAGGTTGTTTCCCCAACAGGTGGGTTGCCACCAAAAGGTGGGTCCTTCAAAAGGTTGGGTCCTCTTGGTGGGGTTGTCCCTGACTCTCTTCCTGCTCCTCTTGTTTTTCGCACGGCCTCTCTGTCTGAGCTGCCTGTCTGTTCCCCTGGCTCACCTGCCTGGCTGCAAACAAACCACAAGTAAACTGAAAAACAAATAGAATGATACATAAAAATGTCCTTATTAAACCGCTTACTCGCGGACCTTACAATTCAATCCATTTCCTCAAAAACCTATGTGAACCCTCACATTGTTGGAAAAGAAAAAACCAAACCCCAAAACCCCAAATTTGAAGAAATGGAGGGTTCTTTTATAGTTGGGGTGCGTATTTATTAATAGGGGTGAGATTACATGCAATACTAAATTTAGTGCTTGCAATCCTCAAACAATATTTGCAAGCAAATAAATTGGTTTTTTGCGGGCCATGAGCCGTAGCAAAAGTTTCTATCTTTCCGCAAGGCCTGAAAAACACAGGGTTTGCACAAAGATGGAAACTTTTTGGAATCTTCACTGGAACTGCAAACAAAGCTCTGTCCGAGGCTGTTCTATTCTTGCGCGGGACCCAGACATCTGCAGAGGGGTGATCTTGGACTCGCAGAGCCACCCCCTCTTCTGGAAGCCCATTTTTCTTCCAAGATGAATTTTTAGTAAGGAGTTTGAACAGTTCAAATCCTCGCTCAAAATTCAGTACTGGCAATGCTCAATTTAGTCCTGGCAATACTAGTACTGGCAATATTAGCTTAGGTGCTGAGACTACTGGATTTAACACAGGCAAGCAAATAAGAAGACTTTTCCGGGCCATGAGCTGTAGCAAAAGTTTCTGTCTTTGCACAAGGCCTGAAAAGCACAGGGCTTGCACAAAGATAGAAACGTTTGACCGAAGAGTTTCTATCTTTTCGCGGGGCCGCCAAAATCTGCAGAGGGTTGATTCCGTTTTCGCACAAATAAGGAATTAAGTAGCGGCAATACTAATTTTTTAGACTGGCAATACAACACTTACTACTTGCAACACTAAGGAGACACACAAAAAATACTGTCAATATTAAATTTAGTACTGGCAATACTAAATTTATTCTGGCAATCCTCACTTTAGTACTTGCAAGCAAACAAATTGATTTTTCCGGGCCATGGGCCGTAGCAAAAGTTTCTATCTTTCCGCAAGGCCTGAGACACACAGGGTTTGCACAAAGATAGAAAGTTCTTGCATCCTGCCCTGGAACTGCAAGCGAAGCTCTGTCCGAAACTGTTCTATT